CCTACCAATTTTTTCCAGTTGTTTGGATACATGCAGAGAGTTTTCCCAAAGTTAACACCTAAAACATTTAGCTAAAATCAAACTATTCAATAGTACGGTGAACTTCTTTTCTTGAGCAGCTACAAAATCTGATAACCCTTAAAAAAAGTTTCCAATATTAAATCTAATATACCAGTTTATTGGAAAAAATATTTAAAATCCACTAATCCTGAAACATATGTCTTGTAATTCAGGAGCCATGTCTGAAAATCTTTGCGGTATTTTGCGTCAAAGCAAAATCTTGTATGGGAATGCATCCTAGTTGAGCCTGAATAAGACTGGGGGAAAGAAAAAAATTGTTACTCCCTTTTAAGGGTTATCTATCTTACAGTATTTGACATCACTCACTGAAGTATTCCTTCTTAAAACTTTTCTCTGCCTTAATTTCTGCAATACTACATGATTCTCTATCTTGCACAGTTATTATTGCAGGTCAATAATAAAAGTTCCTTCCCTTTTCCCCAAATCCTCAAAGTTGTCTTTATTTATTTATTTATTGCTCTTCTTTATTCACTCACTCTCTCTAAAATATCTCATTTCTTCTCAGACTTTCATTATAATCTCTAGATTGATAAAAATTACAGGAGACTTTCACTTAGACTGTTAATCTCAACTATCTCAAATTGTTTTCATATTCTCCTCCAATACAGTTCTATTTTTGGGTTCTACTATTTCTTTTCAAGGAATTAGAGAAAAATAATACAACTTGTTTAATCAACAAATTTTTATTAAATGCTTATTAAGTGCCAGGTATAATATTTGGTGCTGATAATTCTGTTCAGTGTATGAAGGTCAGTAGCATATAAGCTGGTTATTCTAAACCAGCAGCTGCTTAGCTACTAAATTTGAGGTGTTAGTTGTATAAGGGGAAAAAAGACACTAGTGCCTGTGTGCCTACTATATCCCAAGTTCTTTGCTACCTGTTTTGCCAATAAACTTACATAATCAGGCAATGACATGCAAATCACTGATGGTTCTAACTAAAATTACTGTCTGTATTATTACTCTCTTAAGGGGATCTCTTTTAAAAAACAAATTTCTTCCTAAACTCCTCAGTAGAAGGAGATCTCCTGACAAGACCAAAACAGTCAGCTATACAAAGAAAAAGGGTAGAATAGCTATATTTCATGATTTAGTTTAGCAGAAGATACATGAAAATTGAAAGAAGTAATCAACTCTCTTCCTGGAATGGATGTATACAGCAGAAATTTAAACTATTCACTTTTTTTGGCTATGGTATATGCTTCTGAAAATTATTTTATATCATCCATTAAGAAATAGTTACAAAGATACACAGTATACTATCAAAGAAGGAACTGATGGAAAAATGTAAATGGGGTGCTTTTAAATGCTGGGTAAATAAAACTCCTTGTTAAGCTACCTAGGGATGTACAAATGTGGAGTACAAAATTGCTGAAGTAAAAATAAGACTTTTCAAGTAATATTTATTTATATTAAAAAGCAGTATTTCTAATAATAAATAGGACACTTTTCAACATCATACTTCCCTGTCAGAAATCTTATTTCAAGAAGCAGTAATAAAACAGGGATAGGAGGAAGGACAGGGATTTAAGCTAGTAGGTACAGAATCATGGCAGGGCTCTCTGTTTCTCTGCACCAGATAAGGCAAGCAGTGATGTCCTGTGATCTTACCCCTGAGCTCGTCCTCAGTAGAAATAGAAGTGCCACAGCTTCAGGGGAAGTGGCACCTCTTCCACCTCAACTAACAGGGGCAGAGTTACATGGTAGTTATGACTAACCCAGGGTCAGTAAAAGCATTAAATGAGATAAAGTATTGATTCGGTTAGAATTACATTCATGATCAGACCACATCAGTCTACACACAAACAGTTCATTCTTGTGTGTAAAAGGGGAATCCAGAGTTGGGAAGTCCAGGGCTTCGTATGGTGGCTCCGTATCACACCCTGTCAGTTCGCTGAAAAGTACCAGTTAAAGAAAACAGATCTAGTGCTGAAGAGGGAAGACCTAGGCATTAAAGCTAGGAAGAATTTTAAAATAACCTTAAATTAAAAGGGCAGAGCCAGGCACGCTGACTCACGTCTGTAATCCCAGCACTTTGGGAGGCTGAGGCAGGCGGATCACTTTTGAGGTCAGGAGTTTGGGACCAGACTGGTCAACATGGTGAAACCCCGTCTCTACTAAAAATACAAAAATTAGCCAGGTGTGATGGTGTGCTCCTGTAATCGCAGCTACTCTGGAGGCTGAGGCAGGAGAATCGCTTGAGCCCGGGAGGCAGAGGCTGCTGTGAGCTGAGATCATGCCATTGCACGCGAGCCTGGGCCACAGTGCAACACTCTGTCTCAAAATATATAAATAAATAAAAACAATAAAAAGGGCAGAAACCAGAAACTTTAAGGTTAAAATCCTAAAACTAAGAGGATTAACATCTACTTGGAGAAGAACAGATTCAGCAAAGTAACGGATATGACAAAGCCATGAAAAAGGTAACTATGAGCCATCATCACCTACCAAAAGACTATAAATTTTGTATTAAGACCCGTCCATCCCACACATACACACATTCTCTCTTCTTGGCTATGCTTAAATAAGATGCACAAAGGCGTGAAATGATAATGGGAATCTAAATTATGATATGTATAAAAACATTTATAAAGTATAATAATTAACTTTAAAAGTTGACAGCTTCAATCAAAAGAATATACTACCCAATTTAAAGCAAAGTTAATGGAAGCACTGAAAGTGCAAATAAAGTGTTCCCAAGAAAATGAGTGTGGAAAAATACTTGATTTAATTTGACTCAAAAATTTATGCAACACATTACACTGGGGGAAAAAATGAGAAAATCAAGAGTTCTAGATAGCAACATAACCTTGGCAAAGTCATAACTTATCTGGGCGTCACTTACATCATTTGTAAAATGAGAGGATTGGGCTATATGATCTCTTAAGTTTACTATGATCTCTAAGGATATATGAATTTATGGAAATAAATATTTGAATATAGAAGTACAGCTAAAAAAATAAATACTAACTTCTGTGGTACAAGCTACAAATCTGCCTGATGAGTTGTAAACAACGAGAAGACTGTTTTATAGACTTAAAGGTATTTGGAAGATAAAATTTAATGAGATGTCAGGAAGAATCCCAAAGAAAGAAGGACCTCCTCTAGCTAAGGAGGAAAAAGAAATTCTTTGGCTAATTGGTTTTATTGAGCCACATTTAAAAAGATCATTTCACCTTAAATTACATAACACTAAGACCTACATCCTCAGAAAGCCAAGCACTCAGCATAGCAGAAAACAGTATCATTGCATTTGTGACTGCAAACTGCTAAAAGTCACAGGTTACAGTGTAACCTTAATTTACTCTTTCCATTACTAGTGTCTGTACAAACTCCCCATTTTTTGGCAGAATAGTCATCCACTGTCACATATACACTACTTTACTCATGCTTTAGGTTTTACTCTTTGTCTCTCCCAGAACACCATTACCATTCAGTAGATATTTATCACACAGGTTTTCATACCGTCCATTATTTTTAAATGTATTACTCTCATTCAAGCTAACTTGAAAGCTCCTGACAATGTGAGGCATAAGCAGCACGTCTTCATTCAACCGTCCACCTTGCCTCAACAAAACACACACTTAACAAATGTTTGTTAAGAAAAAGCATTCACAAATCATCAATTTTAAAGTCTGAGAGTTCTAAGAAATTAATTTCACAACCACATTCTGACTCATTTTTATGTAATTTTTTCTGTATTAAGAAAAACAAATTTAAATTTGTTTTAAAACCAAAAAAAGAAAACTTTCATAAATATGAATCATCTTTACCAATTTACTTTCATTTCTTTTGTTTTAATTCTTCCTTCCATTGGGAATGTGTAAATAAAACCACATGGCAAAACATTGATTATTATTTATTTTAATTAAATAAAACCTCTTAAAATTATTTAAAACATATGCAATTTCTGTACCTGGTAGTTATCCAATTTAGATCTTTGTTCAAAGTATTCAGTGTTTTCTTTTCATTTATCCTTAACTGTATATCTAGAAATTCCTTGCAGCTGGCTATCAATGTAACCTATAACATTTCAGCAGTTGTCAATTTAAAGAAGTCTATTTTTTGTTTATTTCCTCTCATCCTTTCTCCAAATTTATTTATTTTTCTAACTGCCTTAAACCATCACAGTTTTATCAATTAACAGAGTTAAAAACCTGCTTTATACATTTTGCTTCTTTAAGGATTCATTCATTCACTAGCCAATGCTTAGAAACTCCTATTATATACCAGACACTGCATTAGATACCGTGACTATACCAATAGGACTTTAATGATTAACAGGATAGAATTAAAAATATCTAGCCCAGTGCCGATCACATAGTAATAAATAAGTCCTCAATAAACATTGCTTTTGTTACTACTACTACTGCTGCTGCTGCTGCTGCTGCTGCTGCTGCTGCTACTACTACTACTGCTATTCTACTGTTTTATAGTTTGCAAATCATTATCTCAATTTGATAATTTTGTCATAGAAAGAATGTTTTAGATATTAGGAAATTTGGATTCTAGAGCCTACTTCTGACAGATGACAAACAAAGTAGTCTCTGTGCTTTGGTTTCCCACATATCTAAAATGGAACTAACACTTGTTAGTTAGAACAGAATAAAGAACCCAGAAAGACATCCATACACATCCAGTGAACTCATTTTTGACAAAGGTGCCAAGTACATACATTAGGGAAGACAGTCTCTTCAATAAAAGGTGCTGGGAAAACTGGATATCCACATGCAGAAAAATGAAACTAGATCCCCTATCTCTTGACATATATAAAAATCAAATCAAAATGGAGTAAATACTTAAATCTAACAACTCAAACTACAAAACTACTACAAGAAAATATTTGGGAATCTCTCCAGGCCATTGGTCTGGGCAAAAATTTCTTGAGTAATACCCCATAGGCACAGGCAACCAAAAATGGACAAATGGGAACATATCAAGTTAAAAACCTTCTACACAGCAAAGGAAACAATCAACAAAGTGAAGAGAAAACCCACAGAATGGGAGAAAATATTTGCAAACTACCCATCTGACAAAAGATTAATAACTAGAATATATAAGGAGCTCAAAAAAACCTATAGGAAAAAAATCTAATAATCCAGTTGAAAAACAGGCAAAAGATTTTAATCAACATTTCTCAAAAGAAGACATACAAACAGCAAACAGGCATTTGAAAAGGTGCTCAACATCACTGATCATCAGAGAAATGCAAATCAAAAGTACAATGTGATATCATCTCACCCCAGTCACAATGGCTTTTATCCAAATAACAGGCAATAATAAATGCTGGAGAAGATAAGAAGAAAAGGGAACCCTTGTACACTGTTGGTGGGAATGTAAATTAGTATAACTACTATGGAGAATAGTTTGGAGGTTCTTCAAAAAACTAAAGAGAGAGCTACTATACGATCCAGCAATCCCACTGCTGGGTATATACCCCAAAGAAAGGAAATCATTATATCAAAGAGGTATCTACACTCTCAGTGTTTATTGCAGCACTGTTCACAATAGCCAAGATTTGGAAGCAACTTAGTGTCCATCAACAGATGAATGGATAAAGAAAATGTGGTACATATGCACAACGGAGTATTAGTGAGCCACAGAAAAAATGAGATCCTATCATTCGCAACAACATGGACAGAACCACAGGTCATTATGCTAAGTGAAATAAGACAGGAACAGAAAGCCCAACACTGCATGTTCTTACAAATTTTTGGAATCTGAAAATCAAAATAATTGAACTCACGGACATAGAAAGTAGAAAGATGGTTACCAGAGGCTGGGAAGGGTAGTGACAGGGTGGAGGGGAGGTTGGTGGGGATGATTAATGAGTACAAAAAAAAAGTTAGATAGAATGAATAAAGTCATTTATTTGATAGCACAACAGGGTGACTACAGTCAACGATAACTTATTGTTACATTTTTAAATAGCTTAAAGAGTATAATTGGACTGCTTGTAACACAAAGGATAAATGCTTGAGGGGATGGGTTTTCCATGATATGATTATACG